ATATCAATATCAGAATTGTTTACTCCCTGAAAATAACATTAATTATTTAGAAATATTCAGTGTGATTCCCAAAAGGCCCCATTTCCTGTTTACATATGGATGTTAAGGAAAAATAAAATGATTCGACTTCATTTCGACGGCCAAACTTTTTGCACAGTATCGTCCGTGTGCAGGCACAGAGGGGGTGACACAACATCCCTGTTCTGAGAAGTTTGCTGAAACTTTGTTCAGCATTGTTAATGATTGCCTACAGTGTGGCATCTGCTCTCTGTTGCGCGCACACACACACACACACACACACACACACACACACACACACACACACACAGGCAGACTTTGTATTCAAGGGCCCTTTGCTGCTGATGCCCTGCCCAGGAATGTACAGCTGAACCTGCTCTCACATACAGTCCAGCTGATCCAACAGACACATATGTGCACACACGCACACACACATAGTATAAACAATTGAGCATGCCCAGCTATGCCTCTGATGAAGACTCTGAGCAATGCTATCACTTTAACCATGATGGGAGGAAATTGATTTCCTCTCCCACGCTTCAAACACAGCTAACTGGGTCAGAGGTAAAAGTAAAAACAGAAAGCAAGGCGAAGGGGGGCTTTGAAAATGAAAGAACTTGAGAAAACCGATGAGACAACACAACAACAACAACAACAACAACAAAATGCTCATCTATTACAGTCCTCCTAAAAGGGAAAGTTCAAAAGAAAGTGCAGCACTAGGTAAGTTTACAGCTCATGATGGGGCTGGGGGGATGCCACTAATGTTTACATCCTGTCACACTGTCACAAGCACAAGTTCCTCATTGGGGACACATGCACACTACTTTCTGTGCGATGACACACTTGCTGGTGGTAATTCGATGAAAATAAAACAGTTCCCACATGAAAGCGCTCACAATAAAGTCTGCTGATATTTTTTTCATGTCTTTGCATAACCAGGTCATGACTTCTGGAGAAAGAATCTGTGCATCACCTCTACAGCTGATATCTCCAAAACTGGGCAATTCGCACCAAAGAAATCAAACTGGAACAACAATACTTCAGGCCATATTTTATTTTCTGAGTCACATTTTATCCTTTCACCATAATCAGCCAGTTTCATTTTAACTCCTAATGTGCAAGTCAGTGACGAAGCACCACATAAGCTGAAATGATAACTTTTAACAGTGTAAACAAATGTCTGCTTTGTGATTAATTTCACAATCAACTGCATTAAACTCCTTTAGCTACAGTTCCAAAGAGAGGTACATCTTTGAGATTTCACCGCCACAGAGGAAGGCATGAATTTTATTTTCTGGGTTTGTTTGGAGCAAGCAGAAAAAAAATGTGACAGTTTGCACCAACTGTGAAAAACTTGAAACTGCAAAGAGACTAAAAGGCGAGGCTTGGTGAGGCGAGGCATCGACTCGGGTCTACAAGACCTCTCCACTACAGTTCCAACCGCATAAGTACAGTGCAGAGAAAACCACAGCAACAGGGTACATGAAGGTATGTGAACTTCTCAGCAAACTGACTTTGACCTCAAAAGATCACCTGCCAGTTGCACTGCTGCTTGCAACTTACAAAAAAAAGAAGAAAAAGGAAGAACTATACCTTTTTTGGTAGGTGGGGTACCCTAACAGAGAGACTTCTACTGCTCTGATGTTTGGTTTTAAACATTGTAGCATGTGGCATCTGTAAATACAGGTAGATGCTAATGAAAAACGGTAATTAAAGTACAAACCCTTTAAAAGCATTGCCGTTCCAGTTCCACACTGGCTGCAAAAGTCCTGCAGATTTACTGGATTTGGCAGAAAAAGTGCGTGAGAGCCAAGCTGTTGTACATGTGCTTTTAAAAGAGTCATCGAAACGTGGCACAAGTCATAAAAGTCATTCTCTGTTTAATGGATTCACTCGAGGCTAATTATAATCAGGCAAGGGAGCGGCCGTGACAACACCTCGCTTGGTTTCTTGCAGGCTGAAAGGATCTAATAACTGTTAAAAATGCAGAGATTACACAGAGTCTGAGTTTTGTTTTTAAAAACTGGTCTTTTTCAGTCACAAGGCTTCAGACAGATCTATTGGTCTCCACTTTCAGGTAAAAGCAAATCAGTCAAGCTGTTTCCCCTGGAGACAAAAGCACTTTTGACCGTTCATACAATTTTTGTTGTTTTTTTTATTTAAACAAAGCTGGTCGTGCAGGAATTTATAGTGAAGCTCCATCACGCAAAAGACGGGAAGAGGTGATGCTATAAAATCAAATGTTCTTGCTGTTCACTAAAGAAATGCTGAACTTTAAAAACAGGCAAGAACAAGCCTGTAAAGTTAGATAGAGGCCTCAAACATCCTTCCCATTTAAGGGTATAGTCAACCGGCTAGAAACACTGAGATCATTTCAACTTCCACATCAGCTCCACCGCTCAGAGAAATGTTTGTATAACTACACTTCCCCCTAGCTGCCTTACTCACCCTTCATTTGGCATAAACAGCAGTTATTCTCATTTTAGAATCTGCTGATCATTCTAAGAATAAGAGGAAATGCATGCATTGTATGCATATGAGAGATGCAGAGTTTTTTGTGTAGGGGAGGGTATTTGCATAGTACATACAGTACCTGCTCTATTATCATGAATGCTAGATGCATCGCGGGCCTCACAGAGAAGCACTAGGTGCATAAGTAAGATTGGCCATTTCCTATAGCTGTTAAAGGACTGTAGAAAAAAAGATAGCTTTAAACTAACTCATACATGTGTACAGGGTCTCTTACGCTGCAGAACCTCCGTATGTTCTCTCTATGCCTGTTTGGGTTCTGTCCGGCTACTCCGGCTTCCTCCCACAATCCAAATCAAAGTGTATGTTTGATGAATGGAGTGTGAATGGTTGTCTGCCTCTCTGTGTGTGACCTGCCCAGCCCTTACCCTGCCTCTAGCCCCATGGCAGCACCGCTCCTCGATTTGGATAAGCAGAAGAAATTGGATTCTACATCAAACAATCCACTATGCTCTCACCCATCACATAACGAAACGTTTGCATGTGCTTTGGTGGAAACTTTGTAGGTGTCTAAGACTGACATCTCTTGACGGCCAATATTGCCACTGTCAACAAATCAAAGTCTGAATCAGGAGGTTGGAGGATGGAGTTCTATCAGCACCAAGACTGGGGTTCACATCCCATTTGGCACTTCTTCTGTTTTTCAATTTTCCATAGGGGACTTTGACATATTCAAATATTCCCTCCATCCATTTATTCAATTCAACACATAGAGACAGACAACCATTCACACCTATGGGCAATCATCACAAGAATCCCCAGTTAACCTGACCTAACATTATACTACAAATGATCGGAAATGCACTAAGAAGCTGTTTGTCAGCTACCATTAAACACAAAGGAGAACACTACTCACTGCTGGGTGTTGGACCTGTAAACTGAGTGCGCCCCAGCTCCTATTACAAAAACTGCAGAAATATGCAAAGTGAATGGATTAACTGTGCAAACACCACAATGTAAAGGTAGCATCTCACAGTCAATTTAAAGCAGATCTGATGGGTGGCAACGTCTGGAGAATAGCCAAATACTTCCAAGTAAAGGAGGATTTTCAGGCTAAAATATGTATCCCTTCTCTTCACTTTTGCTTTCACCCTGTAGTTAAGCTTAAGCACAGAAATTGAATATTAACCCTGCAGACTTCACCCCAAAAGTGGATTTAGTTTTTTGTTTTTTGTTTTGTTTGTTTTTTAGATTGCAGTGTTTTATGAAACGAAGTGAAATACAGTCCACTTTAGGTGCATGCCTAAGCCAAAAAAAGGGGGGCAACACAACTGGCTTCATGCCTTTGTGTGTGCACATAAGCTAAAAAGTGTCTACTTCACAACTTCCTATTACATAGTAAATAATCTGTTCCAGATGGTTGCGAGCCTTCATAATAACTGTCATTTAATCAATGAACCAATCATCTCCTGGATGACTTCTTCTGGTTTCCGTCATTGCAAATTCAACATCGTCCAGCACTGAAAAACAACAGCTGTATTTCACACAGTCCTCCACCTGCCACCCCCCACCCTCTCCACGCTAACACGGGATGTGATGTCATAGGCGTTTCACTTCACATAAGCTGAAATTGAATTGATGAACTGATGCCAGTGTGTGATCTGGCATCTGCTGCACTGTACGCTGCATGTCACCATTGGTCGGTCATGCAGATCCACAGATCAAAGTTCACTGCTTTATCAGGAAACCTGAAAGTGCTGCACCAAACTGTGGCTGGGGCTTCATCACCTATCTACCCAGCCAGCCAGCCATCAAACAAACAAACAAACAAACAGATCTGAAGCTGCAGTGATGATATACTCCACACGCCAAGTTTCATTTAGTTTCGACCAGCACCGCCATCCTGACTGACACTCAAAACGAACGCCGCTGAAGCGCAGAGGGTAACATCTCGGCAGCAGGAGCCCGGTGCAGAGTTAAGCTGGAGGCAGTGCACCTGGCTGCTTTCCCAGAGTTGTGTTTGAAAAGAGGCTGCTGGCCCTTTAAAAGCTAAGATGGTGTCCTGCAAGCTGCATTTGCTGCCTTCCGTTTCCTTCCTGCCTTTCAGAGATCACAGAGCATTCAAAATTGAACCTGAACTAACCTGGCGCACAGAGGGAAAGCCAGATACACAGGACACACACAAACACACACACAAGGAGGATTTTGTTTTCCTTTTTCTGCATTAGAATTAGAGGACTCTCGGAATGATGTTATTGCAATGCAATGAGGTCGCTGTTACAAAACTCTTCCACTAATTTGCAAAATAAACTGCCTGCAAGGACACACTTGTGACTGTTATAGAAGCACAGGCTATATTCGCTCACTTACAGTCATATTTTTGGCTCATGTTGGGTTGACAATGTCAACTCTGCTTGTGTACAGGCAGATCACCCACACAGGTAGATGTTTCTTCTTCTTTTTCTTTAATTCCTCCACTGACCAGGGCAAAGCCAATAACGTGCACTTACTTTCTTGTTACGGGTCTCCGTGTGCATCTCGGTTGCCGGAGCGGTGCAGCGGCGGAGGGGTGGAGCAGCAGGAGCAGGAGGGGGTCGGTCGGGGCTTTGGGTGTAGCTCTATCTGAATCAGAACTGTCAGGGAGAGAGAGGAGGGCTTTTTTGGGGGTGCTAGTTTTCCACCTTTACAGTCAAATATTTCGGGATATAGGAACACGATCCCTGCCTCTTCCAGTGTTTCTTTTCAGTTCATATCCGCGGCGTCGAAGGCTCCCTGTGCTTTTACCCCCCCAAAAAACAAAAAAAAAAACAGCCAGTCTCTCTGTGTCTCTCCCTCTCTCTCTCTGTCGGCGTGTTGTTGCCGTGTATTCAAGGGCTGGGCTCTCTCTCTCTGCCTTTTCCTCCTCCGCCTCTCCCTGCTTGTGACCCCACCCTGCGTCCCCACCCCTCATCTCTCTGTCAGTCAGGAGCTGCGCAGCCCTGCAGAGGAGCGGGGCCGCTCTGCCGGCGACCCGACACCGGCAGCGGGCGGGCGGGCGGGCAGTGCAAGAGGAGCTGCTGCAGAAGCACCAGCGCACAAATGCAAAGAGAGAGGCGTGGAGGTGTGGGGGGCTTTAATTGCATCTACCAGCACTGCTCTCCACATTACCTCCTCTCCCATGCACCAATGCTGTGCTGCAGCAGCTTATTGCCCACGGATGATGATGAAGAGAAACACCCATGTCACCTTACTGACGTCACCCAGCAAGCTAATTGAGGACACTTAAGCTGGGCGGGGAGGGTGGGGGCGTTAGGAAATGTATCGAGGCTTTGCAGCATTCGGTTTGATAAATGTGACACCGTGCACAGCCAAGATGGAAGGAGGAGAGGCACAGCCAGTTCGGGTGAAAGATGTAGTCATAACCACACCCTCGGTATTAGAGAGGGGTGTGGCAAGTGCGAGGGCGTTATTATGTTTTTCTTTTCTTTTTCTTCAGTAGGGATTTTGCACAAAGGAAAAAATGTAGTCTGCATGTCAAGACTGATGAGGATTTGCATATTGAGCGCAAAACGGAGCCAAATAATGCAGAGGAGATGTGCAGTGTGTAATGTGCAGTCTAAGAACCTCAGGCTTTTTAGTAATCCCGGTTTTGCATTAAAAATGTTCTTGCTGGGGGGGGTTCTCCGCAAATACCCATAATTTGGGGTTAGGTTAATATCACACATAGGTGCGATACGCTGTCTTTATTAATTCCCACAACTGTAAACATTAAAACGGTGCTAACAGTTTAGTTTCTGTTGGACTACATTTCCCATGATTCCACACCGGAACTGACAATTCTGCCAGGAAACATGAGGAGGTAAACAAAACTTTCAGTTATCCTTGTTGTATATTACTCATTTCAAACATTTGTGCCACTTGAATCAAACACGTTGGGTTTTAGACCCCGGTCAACGACGCTGTAAGGAAAAAAAATAACAATGTAAATCCGTTACGTACCTTTTACGTCTACCTCAGGATGTTGTCATGGAGATAGCAGCTAAACTCATGTAGCGTTAGCTCATCTGTCAGGCTAGCAGCTTTACAAACTACTTTTACATGTTTATTCAGCACTTCTGTAGATTACTGTTAAGCACGGACCGTCTCCCGTCTCGTGGGAGAGTCTTCCGTTACCTTCGATCTGGATAATGTTAAAAAATCTTTTTAAAAAATAACAGAAATACGTTAGCGTCATCTCCTGCACACCAAAAGCAAGGTGAGGTTGTATTTTGGCTTCCTCTGTAGGTGGGATAGCATTGGGCTTTTTCAGAGCAACCACTCATGTTGTATTCATACAAATGCACCGTGAACAAAAGCACAAATAAAGTATGATTATGTACCTTCTAAATTCAAAAACTGCTAAATATCTAAATAAAAATAAGCAGAATTCTTTGCACTGGAGAAGCATGCCCTACAGAGTTTACTAGTTAACGTGGGCTAATTTACCTGGGGCTGAAATCACGCTGTACAACAGTGCGGGGAAAAAGGTGTGCAACTGCTCCGAGGTCTGTTTTCTGTCGTTTGGTGGGTGTGTCAGGAGGGCTACCCAATGAGGAGTAACCAGGACGGACAGGATTAGGAATGCGTGTGTCACAGAGACAGGTCAGGTTGAGCAGCTTGGAGACATGGCATAGTCTGGACGTGAGCAAAGGAGGGATAGTGGATATAATGGACAAAGGATGATGAAGATGGAGCTTCCTGGCAGGGGGAAAATAAGATGACTGCAGAAAGGATTTATGGATGTAGTGAAGGAGGACATGCAGAGGGCCGACGTGACGGAGGAGGAATAGGATTAATAGATGAGATGGAGGCTGTGGTGAAAGTGTTCAAATAGTCCAAAAACCTACCTTCTGGTTCTTTTCCCATTCACATTACCTTACCCTGAACGTGTGTGCGTGTATTCTTCAGGTAATGTGATAGACATAGAGATGTTCACAAGTAGCAGATTTGTGTTACATCAGGGTCGTTCCGTCTCAAATCATCAGATTTTTAGATCATTTTCTGCTCGACCAGCTCCAATTAATTTGACATATATGTTGAGTTCTGTGAAATTTTAGCTTCAGTATTAAATACCTTCATAGATATTTATTTTTAAAGAGGCCTATCCATCCACTTCTTTTTGCACTTTTGCATTTGAGCGTGAATATCTCAAAAACTAAAGCCTGAAATTTTTTCTGGCCTTTCTTACTTAATACAGGGTCTGCTTTATGGTGGATCGAAAATACAGTAAGGAGAGGTAACAGGAGCAGCAGTATGTCAGATCATTTAAATGTGTGCAGGAGATGCAGAAGAGAGTGGAAAAACACAAACACAAACACCATAGTTTCCATTTAAATAAACATGTATAAATCCATGTTCACCGGGTGCAACATCCAAGCTAACGCGTATGTAAGTCTATACGTTTAATAGATGTCAAAAGGTCACTGTACAAGTAGACTTTGATGTTTCTTCACATCCAGCTGTTGTCTAAGGAGGTTGTAAAGAGAATGGCTGGACTTCTTTAAGTTTTGTGAAAATGTTTCACCTCTAATACAAGAGGCTTCTTCAAACCGTGGAGAGTCCCAGGTATATGAATCCTAGAGAGGGTTGTCCGTCAAGAGGGTTGTTGACCCACTATTAATCGTGTGCCTCATCACATGAGCCAAGGTGATACCACTGTAAAACTTTGCCTCACCCTATTATGTCACTTATTGAGGTCACCAGACGCAACATGTGAGTGGGGGTTGAGATGCCTGGGAAGGAATCTCAAGACTACATCGTAAGTTGTGGAACTGAAGTAGACATCTTCCCAAAACGTAAAGAAGTCCAGTCGCTTTCTTTCCAGGCTCCTTAGACTCCCATGACTTAGAGGAATGAGACATACACCCAGGTGTTGTTGAGATTCTGGCATCTAGAGATAAGGCATTTGTGGGAAGTAGGCAGAGCTGTTTGACAAACTGTTGGCTGTAGTGGGTGTTTTAGGCTACCTGGCTAAGGACGCTTAGTTTTGGGTGAAATAGACATTATAAATGATAGACACAGTGAAGTCAACTCAGACGTGCCTTAAACCTTTATTCTGTTTAATGCGCAACAGAACAAAAGACTTCCAGTCCTGTAGAAGTTAAGAGAAAACTGGCTTGTGCTCTCGTTCTCTTTGACCTCAGTGAACACTTTCCTGATGACCTGATGATTGGCTGAGTCACTAGTTTTGATCAATGTTTAATAGAATAATAAGATCTTTTTGTGAATTTTGGTCTTTCTAAGAGTCAGAAAGGATGAATGTCCAGTATGTGTTCGTAATTTAGTGAGGATGCAGTTTTTCCAAACGCGCCCTTAATCCTCACGCGTGGTCTCAAAACACCAAGACGTCGACAGCAAAAACACGCACCTCAAGGCTTCTGAACGAGACTTCACTAACCAATGGGTGATGTCATGTTTGCAACATAAATTGCATGTGGCTGATGCAAGCTATCTCCAGTCTATATTTAAGTCATAATTTTTGCCTGAAACTTCTTGAAGATGTTTTTTTGAGAAAAGAGTCTTATGTGTTATCCAATAATCCAGTACTACATCTTTAAAACAAATTTTATAGAATGAAATCTAATAATGATGCACCAGTGCTCAAATGAGCATCGATGGTAAGGAATATGTGTGCCCATGTTTGTCTCCTAGCTAAAAAATCAAGAAGATGATATGCCAGAGAATTGAACTGGCACTTTTACTCAAAGCAAAACAGTACTTTTTCATTCAAAATTGTAAGATTATTTCTTTAACCTTAAAGCAAGTCCCACAGTCCTTCAGTGCTGCAGACAACCCCAGAGTCTGGGACAAGCAGTAGATATGACAGTGTGACCTCCTGCAGGGCATCTACATACATATATCAGTGCATATTGCAAAAACCTACTGCAAGCTTGCGTAATATTCTGTGTTTTGTGAAGATTTATAATTCCAAACTAATTCTGGCACTTGATAAAAGCATTTATAATGTAGGGATAGGCACTCCAAGACAGTATTTACTTTACAATAATTTACCAAGTAAATTGTTTAATGATTTGCTGAAAAAAGCAGGTATTTATTGGTAATAGAGGTAGGGATTTTTCAAAAACACAATGACAAAAAAACATATATGCGTCTGCTGTCGGCCAGATTCTCAATTTAATAAAAAAATACAAATTAGCATCAACAGTCTCTAATGTCCATATAATACAGCCATGTTTATTGAATTCACAAATCTGCAATGGCCTGGTATAATTGCTCATATTAGATCATTTAGATCATTTTTCTAGCAAAAATACCCATTATCGCTAATGTGAGGACTTTCTCTGATTCTCTGTGTTTGTATCTTCCTTCAGTCCTGTGGGGTTTTCATCTCTTAGCAGTTGTAAGTAGAGCAGGGCGATATGACCAAAAATATTTATCACGACATACATTTGAAAATTTGCGATAACGATATAACTGACGATATAATTGACACTAGACAAATTTATATTTATATTATATTATAAGGGGCACTGTCGATTTTCAGAAAAATCAAAGGATCGATTTTAAGTGTGCCGTATTTTCCAAAAAACACGGTAATAACGACGGCCCGCTAGCATGCTCTACCAAAGATAGTGCTTTGTTGTGTGTCTGACGGACGAAAGCCAAACCAGTTCCACACCACTGAAGTTTTTGCATTTTTACAAACCAATTCTGGTTCATCCGTTTCATTTAACAATCCGCTTTCGCCCTCCTCATTCTCCGTCGCCGCCATGCTTTTTCCGCCATGTGTGTATGAAAACAAAGGCACTGCGCATGCGCGTTTTACCCATATTCTATCGCGATATTTCATTTTCTTATCGTTGCCCAACATTATACCGGTATTACTGTCAACAATGGCCCAGCACCAGTTGTAAGCAGTTGATCTGAGGTCATTTTTCACAATGTTGTTAATTTTATTTTGAGAATTCCGGGAAGCTAAAATAAATACAGATGTTATTACTGTTGTTTGCATCAGATGTGGTTTAGTGATTTCAGGCACTTTTTCTAGAAAGCCGTACTAGTTGACACCTCCAACTTGATTCAGTCTTGTGAACTTAGTTGTGGCCTTTTTAGCCAGTTTTAAAAGGTATATCTCTTTTATATCAGCATCCAGTGAGTCTCTGAACTGCTGTGTGTCTGTGTTAAATTTGTCAGAGTGACCCGGCGACCCTGTGAGGATGGCCCGCTGCTGGAAGAGCAGGAGACCGAGGGCCAGCGGCAGCTGCATGGCCTCTTGCTGCAGCAGCTCCACACTGACGTCGACATTGAACGGTCAGAACAGGAGAAAGCATTATACATGATGTCTGCATAACGTTGAGGCACAGTGCAAAATTTAGAGTCCAGTATGGTGAAATATCACATCATGTACACAAACTTCAATGTTTGTCCCTAATGTCATGTAGATTTTCTTTCAGTTCTGCAGTTATTAAGTGAACTGAGGACAAGTAGTAGATATGACACCTCATCTACATCTACCACACAGTGACCTCCTGCAGTGCATTAGCATCTACACAAATGCTGTATAGCAATATATTCTGCAAAAACAGACACTATGCACTCACTGAAAGGTACCCTCCAAAAATTAAAAAAATAAAGATAAATACAATAACAATAACAATAATAATAATAATAATAATAATAAATGCATAAGATAAATATACATATTCAGACTTTCAAACACATGATCAGATATTCATTCCTGCATACACACGTTAGAAGAACAAGAGCCAAAAATAATCTTTCACCCTTTCAAACCTAAGATTCAGTAGACCTGATGAGCTGTGGAAGTCTGTTTCAAAATTTAGGAGATACAACTTGAAAAGTTTGATCACCTCTTGATTTAAATGGCAAGAAGTTTAAATGCAGTAGTTTAGTGCTTTGTATATGTGTTCCCCACTTTTCAACCTTTGCAATGTTGGAATTGCACTCAGTTTCTTTGTATGTGTTAAATGTTACAATGAATTAAAGATATTCTATTCTAAAGTAAGGGTGTGGAACAGCTGAAGGACCCTGATCACCTGTGAACCCTGTCAATATTGACATAAAATCCATAAATTGTCTTTTAATTCAGCTCAGTTTTAAATCTAATACTGAGATCATTTATTGGTCAAACTGAAGTCAGATCTGCTTGATATATATTTAGTTTTGGCGAGCTTGTGGTTTACCTCTCGCTGGATAAAATTCGTGTCACACAGTTATAATATATAAACATTAAAGCGAGAGAATCAGACCTGTTTTTGTGTTACTCAGTGGGAGGACAAAGCCATGCCGTTTCAATTGTACTGAACGCTCTGTGCTTTATAAAAGAAAAATCCCACACTCTTCTTACTGTGAGGTGCTTCGAACAAAAGCGTCAGATGCTGTGTCATGTTATCCTCACTGTCCCACAGAGCAGCACAGCCCTCGGGGCTACAGAAACACACACAGTCTTTTCTCTTTCTAAAACATCTGAAGCCGCCATGTGACCTTTAAACCAGAGTCTCAGATAAGGCTACAGCTGCTTTTCCAGAGCTTAGTTTTGATCTCGTTCTGAAATCATTTTTGTCTAACAGATGTGTAGCCAAGAGGCAGTGCTTCGCCCCAGCGGCGCTTTATCGGCCGTTTGGGGAGCAGGCAGCAGGAGTGAAGAGCCTTTCCCAGTTCCAGGCCCTGCAGGATGGGGAGAAGGAACTGGCCAGCCTGCGGGAGCTGGGCCTGAATGACACCGAGATCCAGCTGTGGCAGAGCAGAGATGCACCAGAGACAGCAGAGAAGGTAAAACATCCCCGGAGGACAGAGAGGCGGCTCCAAACAGCAGAGGCTGGGTTTGTTTTGTGGTGTGGAGTGTTTCCACACCACAAAACATGTTGTGAGTCCATTATACAACTGTGTCAAAGACTTTTCGGAAAAAGTGTCCAAAACCTTTTTTTTTTTGGGAAACCTGGGTAAACGAGATAGTAGAGTTTCTCCAACATGATCATGTATTTAAGTTTTCACTGGTTAATGCGTAACTTAAATCTCAGAGACTTTGAGGTTTTTCCTTATGAATTTGTGGGGATCTTTTCACCAATTTCATCTCAGAGTATGCACAATTTTTTTTATTGCATCAATGTAAGAGTTTCTCGAAAGTTTTGAGGGATTATTTTTAGAGAAAAACACTCAAGCAAGGCTAATGCACATGTCCTTTACATGAATGCCTTTCTTCCCACACAGTCCCACGGTGTGTGTGCAGCTCCAGGTGCAAAGGAAGAGCGCCTGCAGGCAATTAAAGACAAAATCGCCGCCCGGATGGAGCTTCTGTCCCGCCCACAACGCTTTGCGTCCAGCCGGCCGCTGTCACGCCGGGAGATGGAGATTGAACAAGCCCTGTTTCATGGGAATGACCGCCTGGGTTTCCTCACAGCGCTCTATCATCGAGGTACAGAGTTGTTGGTGAAAAAGAAGTCACAGGTCAAAACTCAAATATTACACTTTAGAGTCTTGATCGAGAGCATTACAGCAGTTTGAAAGAGTTGCCGGAATAGGGATTGTATGATTTTGACTTTATGGGCCATACATGATACCTTTAACACAGCTTCAGTTCTGTTTTAGAAGTGACTAGTTGTGGTTTCTTTGTGGAACTGATAGTAAGGAAGCTCCAGTGTTGACCTCTCATCTGAGAGGCAACAGCTGCTTTCACTTTGAAAATTATTAAATTATATTTAAAAAGTGAACCCTTCCTTATTTTGAGCCATAAATATACTTTTACAGCAATGAGGTCATTGTTTGTACAAGCTGAAACTTCAGGCGGCTCTAAAGACGTCACTTCAGGCAGTTTTTTCTACTATTAGGTCTATATCATGTAAAAAAAAAAAAAAAAGCGGATATCCCCAATCTAAACATTTGAAGCACGCAAGCCCCGCCCACATGCTGTTCAAGGGGCAGCCATTCAGGAGAAGAAAGTTTGAAGTAACCATCAAAATTAACCGCTACTGACTTACAACTGTGTACTCCTAGCAGAGAAAAATAGATGAGCATTATCAGCCTTGCTGGCTCTGATTCCTGCTCTGCCATATGGGGTCCCACAAGGCTCAATTTTAGGGCCACTGCTTTTTGCACTTCTTCTTTTTGGATTCATTCTTAGAAAGCCTGCTATGCTAATGATACTCAGATCTATGTCCTGTTAAAGTGGAAGGATAGCTTTTCAATTAAAATACATCTTGTAGGTCTTGATGACATGAAGTCTGGCTTTTTTGAGGTAAGGAGCTTGGCAAAGATAAAACCTATCCATTCTAGGCAGCATTTGGAGACAGTAACCATTTGAGATCTCGACTGGATTACTTTGGACAAAGCCAGTCTTCCCTCTTATGTCTTCGCTTAGTTAAAAAAGCTGCATCGTGCCTTTTGCTTTACATGTAAATAAAGGTACATAGCACCTGTTCTGGCCTCACACCATTGGTTGTCTGTGCTCTTTAGAGTCAGTTTCAGAGTTCTCGTATTTGTCTTTAAATCCTTAAATGGTCTTTTCTGAGCTGCTTTACCTCTACACTCCTGTCCAAGCTCTCAGGTCATATGACCCGTTGCTCCTACATATACAGAAGTCTAAGCAGGAGTTCAGAGGGGACAGTTACCTAAGTTGTCCATTTTGAAACACATTTATCTTCCCCGTCCTTTGACCCAGCATGAGACAATAATTGTACTTGTTTTTACCGTAGTACGGTATGGTATTTCAAAATGTAAAAGAAATCTGCAGTCATCTGTCATAATTGTGTCATGTCAGGAAAGTGTAACCTGTGTTGTTTCCATCACAGATGAAGATAAGAAGGAGAACCAACAGGGGGCGTCATCCTCTGACCCACTGGACTCTATCTATAGAGAAGTTCTCAGGGAGCAGGAGGTGAAACAAGCTTCACAACACAAATCTGAGGGAGAACCGACAGGAGCGCCACACACAGCTGAATCTGACCAATCACAAAACCAACAGACAGACAGAAATCAATCGAGAGACGCTTCTGACAGTCCGTCAGACCTGCAGGCTGGAAACAGTCGCTCATCCGTCCAGACAGACTCAGTTTCAGACACCTCAAATCAGCAGCATGTTGAAAACAAACCAGAGCATCTGCGACTGGCTCCTCCGAGACAGATTAATATAAGCCAGCCAATCAGCAGCTTGTGCGGAACAGCAAAGGTGGGGCCAAGCAGACCACTGACTGTGACGGGGGAGATTGTGACAATTACAGATGAAGAAATCCTAAAGAACCGGGAATCAGAAGAAGGGATCCGGAGCATTCCAAGGTTCCGAAACTACCAGCCGGGGAAACCCTCCAAGGTCTCAGCAGCTACCTTTGTAAACCTCACACTTTCACGATGATCCTGAAAGATCAGTTCCTTTATCTTTAGGGCAGCTGTGGCACCAAATGATTATTTCCACAGTTTCTGCTCTCAGCACTTCCCAGATTGTTGTTTCTATCTAACATAAAGGCATTACATCATCTGAAAGTGTGCACATCCACCTCTGCGTGTGGTGTATTTATTCCCTGTTCCCCATAAGGATAACATTAAAGGCACAGTGAAGCTGTATGTTGGCTGCACAGTAGCGCTGCTAAAATGACACATTAAAATGGAACAAATCATCTCACAGCAATTAACAACCTTTAAGATGTGCAGGTTGAGAGGCACTCACTTGTAAATTGAGCTTGATGATAATTGTTGTATACTGTAATTATAGTTTCCTGCGAGCACATCCAAGCTGCAGCTGGAAACAGAGGGCCACATCCTGGTATCATCAGATATACTTTCAACACGACACAGTGCGACAGTCAAGAGATGGGCGCTACAGAACATGACCAGCTTCACTGTGCTTTCTCTCTCTTTGTGTAGGTCCTGTGTGTGAAGAACCTGAGCCCACAGGCGTCAGTGGCCCAGCTGGTGGCGCTGTTCTCCAGATTTGAGAGGATGGACAGGCCCCCGGTGCTTTACCGGGTGCTGACTGGGAGGATGAAGGGTCAGGCTTTCATCACTCTGCCAGGTGAGAAAGATAAGAGGTGAGAGTCGGGTGGTCTGAGGGCAAAATTATCTGCAATACAGCTAGGTGTGCAGCAGGGGGCGTTCAAGGAGATAGTACTCAATGAACGGGACAGCTAAAGTAATTCTTTACACTAGTTTCTACACAAAAAAAACTACATGTTGTTTCAGTTTTTGCAAGTGTAGCATCGCAAATGAGTCTGCGCCCAAAATGCTGACATTCTGCTAAAGCATGATTGGTCCAGCTGGTTTTTACCAAAAAATCCAATTTGTTGATGGGACCACCTCAATGGCTGAAAGAGGGGCATGTTAAACAGCATGTTAACAAGTATGCTTACAGCCTATGGATGGACTTTCTCCACTCCACTGAAGGGGAATGGGGGTTTTTATGACTCGTCCACCTGGATATTAGAGTTAGGGGCATGGCTGCTTTGTCTGTGAGGCGTTAGAGCGTGTTATTGTTTGTTGGGCCTCCCCTTATGCTTACTAAAGAAACCTCTTTTATTCTCACTATGGATGGCACCTGGCACAAACAGTAACTAGGCGTTCGAGGCGTAGTTAAACCACAACAGAAACCTCCCTGTGTGTAAAAGAGCAGGTGGTTGTGTAGTGGTTGAAGGGGATTGGTATCAGGAGGCTCCTGCTCCAAATTCTCCGCCGCTACTGGTGGCTTCATGCCTGAAATCAAAATGGCGGAAGCCACGAAAGCAGCTCGTGGTGCTATGGCGTGCCTAGGCTTAACAGAAAAGTCTTTTACTACAATCAACATCAATCCATGCACATTCTGTCTAGAAAAAACAAAAACATGATAAATTGATGAAAATTGGCCACAAGAAAACCTTACAGAGATTCAAAACACATACATTACATTTGTTCTGCAGCTCCACGGGGTTCCTTTCATTCCAGACTCTCCCCTCATGAAACCGGAAATCCAGAGAGTGGGAGTTGTTATTTTCCTTATTTAGTTTTTTGGTTCTTTCCTTGGGGTGTTACTTGGCATGTTTCTTTTTCTTTGGCAGATGCTGAAACGGCCCAGAATGCCTTGCAGTTAGTCCACAGATACCGGTTGCTTGGGAAACCTTTGGTGGTCGAATTTGGCCGTGAACGACAGGAAGAGGAGAAACAGAAGGAGAAGGAAGGGCAGGAGGAGAAGAAATAAATAAACAGAAGAAAAATGTTTTTTATGTAAATTAGACTGTTGTGAATGGCTGAAACTAATGTCACAGTGTACTTATTTTTTGTGGATATAAAGTTGGATTCGTTGGCTTATTATTATTATCAGCAGCGCCTGTGTGTCATTTATTTTGATAATTAACGTATTTAAATGATCCAGAATCTTAAAGCATCCAGTAACACAAATCTGTTTCTCGGGAAAAGCTTTTTGTTTTTCGAGTCAGCTCAAGCATCTGATTCATGTCACACGAAGAGACTTCACATGAACTTGTTTCATATATAAAAACGCCCTTCATCATTTCACATCATTACTGTATCTACTTTAGAGTTTATCAAATGTTCTCTTTCTAGATTATTTAAAGCAATAATTATTTTATGACTTGTAGCAAGATTTTTTTGAAATGTCTTTTTTTGTTGTGAAACTAACTGAGCAAGCAGTCCTAGTCGATGCACACAATCCACAGTTTTCAGCTTATATACATTTTCTTACAGCTGCTTTATTTTCCACTGCAGTTTAACACGCAGGGCTTCTGTGAAGGTTTCATTAGTGGTTTAGGTGTGAGTTTACTGCTATTCCATATGTGGGCACTAGATGGAGCCATTCGGTCATTAAGGTTAAGAGAAGTTGACTGGATATGAAGTAGCAGCTTTTTGAGAGGCTAAAAACTAAAATCAAGGTTGGAAAAAAAAACATTTTTTGTTAACTTAAATAAAAGTAAAAGCTAGACTTTAGAAATTATTTTATGAAACTAACAAAAATAAAAGAAATAAGCAGGAAACAATAGTTTTACTCTCTGTCACAGCCAGCATGTGGTATGTTTACTTTGGGGTGCTATATTGGACACTTTTTTGCACTCTTCTGAACATCTAAAAGCATTCCCCTGACAGATAATAAAAAAGGAAACTAATTTAAACTAAACATTTTTTTTGTTCTTGTTCTCATCTTGTTAGTGTGCAGCAGCTCTAAGCTGCACTTCCTTTGCTGTTAAGCCAAAAGTAAGTTTGCAGGCACTCCTATGGAGTAAAACATTTCACTTTTTAAGACCAAATTACTGTAAGTTCTAATAGTTTGAATTCAATGATATTTTAATTTCATATAAGTACAATAAAATATAAACAACAGAAAGTACATTATGTGGAGGGGTACTTCATATTAAACTCCAGTTAACCTGATGATTTATGTCACATTACAAATATAAGATTCACTTTTGGTAGCTGAATGAACCCAATCAATCCTTTTTTTGTTTCTCTTAGTAAACCGACACATTATGATTATGTTCTTTCTCATGCTGTATTGGTCGGTCAGCTGGTATCTTCAGTATATTTATTTGGTTACTGTAGAGCACTGTTGAGTAATTCCTTTTTTTTTTTTTTTATTTTTGGCCTGTCCCGTTTGGCTCTTTTGCCATCAGAATTGTTGTCTAAAGGCAAAGAAAGATGCCCAACGGATTTACTTTACCAAACTGACCATCCCAGCCTTGCCGTAATGGTCCATTTGATTCACCTTTTATTGTTTATTTTATTTTCACTTACTGAATACGGGACAGACTTGACTGGGGGAAAGAAGGGGAGAAAGAAAGAGGGAAAGAGAAACAGCTGAGAAGAGGGATGGGGGAGAAGGGCAAAAGACAAAAACCAACAGAACGGGCAGAGAAAAAAAAAAGCATATATCAATCACCTGGATCACCAGCTGAGAAAGAAAAAAGAAAACAAGCAGAAGAGAACAAGAGTAATAGAATAACCAGCATCACAATGATATATGGGAATATGACAGTAAATACTAAATATTAAACATTATTGTGCAGCACATAAGATCAACAGAACACAGTGTGCTTTGAGGTAGGAGCCAAAAAGGGTGTAGTTTGTGGGTGTGATCACCCGTGTGTACACCTGTGAGCATGGACGCGCTTGTTTTTAAAAGGTTCCTTCATGTAATGATCTGCTAGAGGGTGTGGGGGGGCCACAGCCCCGTCCTCCAGGGCATGAAGCCTGTTGAGTAATTCCTTAGTTCTTGGATCATAAAATGTTCTCTGCGTGAGAGTCAATGAGCTCTCGCAGCAGTTAATTGCTCTCTCAGACCCAGCGTTAGTCCAGGTTCATACTGATAGAACGGTGTATGTATCATCTCCCCTGTGGAAATGTCTACAACCTTTATTCACAGCAGGTGTCTCTGAGTAACAGCAGTAACAGAGACAGACCTCATTCACAAGGTGTTTACATTCCCATAAGAGCTGCATGCACCTCTGTGACACAGGGGTGCTCAGGAGGGTTCAAAGTGTGTTTTGAGTTTGTGTTTGTCTTTCACACAGCCTTGGTGTGCGTGCTCTCTGTCTACTTATCTACGGCGTTCTCTTGCTCAAATATGTTTGGGGTCAGGGGATTGTGGTGTGCAGGATTTTAGGTTAAAACTTGAAATGAACAGAAATCCTCACTGGTGTCCCCCACAGTGTGCATGTCTGTTCAGTATCACTTGCACTGTAATGTAGACTTGCAATAATGTATATAGCTTTAAGAGACCTTGTACATCTAATAATTTTATGCATAAACAGAAGTTACAAATACGCTGATATATGTTGTGTGTAATTAATATTTTAGATTCATTCTAGTTGACATTAAAGCTGACTTTGGCTAAAAGGGCAGAAAGACTAGTTTGAGGCAACTTTTCACGCCTCAGATCTCAGAGCCTTTATCGCATTTTGGTGGATGCAAACTGACCCAGTGAGCGGTCTCACAATGCAGCTATTAGTCAAACTCAAACTGCTTATTGATCGGACTAAAGTGAGGGTTTTGTTTGTTTAGGTCTGTTTGTGTTGGATTTCTGTTTGCCCTCGGTTCAGGGCTGCAATCTTTTTCCCGTTCAGAAAATGGGAAACAGCAGCCTAAACGCAAACAACACTGGCAGTCTTTAAATATTAACTGCTGCAATTTAAAAGGCCATTCAAGTGTCAGATAGTCTGCTTTATTTCTAATGGTTATGTCACACCTATTTGTCAGCTTCAGAGTAATTATTTAAGAAAAGTTACATCTCTAAATGCTTTCTTTAAAGCAGTTCATGGAAGTCACACTGTTTATTCATCAAACACTGGCACAGGCTGACTCACTGCTGTGGACACCTGATGCATCAGAGCCATTATTGATTAACCTGTGCTTTTCCTTTCGGTCAATACGTTTGCTTCTGTCTACGGTCCCTGCAAAACCACTTTGAAAGCACATCAGATCTCAATGGGGGAAAAAATCATGCTGGATATCTTTACTGGTATGGACTGGGTAGTGTGTTTGGAACAAATGGATGCTATGTGGTTGAGTTTATGTTAGGCGAGCACATGGGTCACTCAGTGACCCCGAGACCATCACTGACCCACCACCAAACCAGTCATGCTGGATTATATTACAGGCAGCATAATGTTCTCCACAGCCTTTCTAAACCCTTTCCCGTGTGTCGCATGTCCTCCCAAGTACAGGTTGCCACAATTTCACATTGCCAGGCACAGGGCCCACTAGAGGATGTTGAGCCCTCAGGCCACCCTCACAAAGTTTCTGATTGTTTGGTCAGACATTCACACCAGTGGCCTGCCAGAGGTCATTTTGTAGCTCTCCTAGAGTAACTACCTGTCTCCCAGAATCTCCTCCATGCTCTTGAGACTGCACTGGGAGACACAGCAAACCTGGCAATGAAGCATATTGGTGTGTCATCCTGGAGGAGTTGGACTGCATGTGCAACATCAGTGACACTGACTCTATCCAAATGCAAATCTAGTGAAAAAATGCAGTCCGTAAACATGAGGAAGGGAAAAAATGTCACCGGCCTCCACCTGTTGTCTCATTGTTGCCCCTCTAGTGCACCTGTTGTTAATTTCATTAACACCAAAGCGGCTGAAACTGATTAACACCCAGTCTGCAACTTAAACGACCAGATTAATATCGCAGAGGTTTAAGACTCGATGGTAAACTCGGATTAAAACGTGTTCCTTTAATATTTTTTTAGCAGCGTATACTAGTTTAACCCGTGCTTTTCATTTAGGTCAGTACATTTGCTTCTGTCTTTAGTATCTGCAAAACCATTCTGAGGGAAAAAGCAGTGTAGGAGGAAAGAAAAGCTCTGCAAAAGGCATGTAGGAAAAGTTTACATTTATTTCCAAATACAAAAGAGTACAATGCAGAAAAGGATGCTTGTGGTCATTTAAAAATGGTGTCATCACAGAGTTTGTCCAGCGAAAAACTCCAACTTCATTGTGTCGTCGTCAATGTACACATAGACTGTATATAAAGGATGAATGCAGCCATCGTGCTGTCACCCATTGGTTTGCAAAGTCCAGTTTTTAAAGCTTTGAGATGATGAATTTCAAAGTGCTGTGAAGACTTCCTAACTTGAAGCGTACACTGATTTATTGCTCTTTTGAATTGTATTCAGTGAGACTCATAAGGTCATCAGTAAAGTCTTTGCTAAGGGAATCATATAGGGGGACTTCTATACAAGCTTAATTTGCCCCTTGTTGGTCGTTACAAAGGATTCAGATTAAAGACGTTAATATCATGATTTTCCCTTTTCAAATTTAACAAATATTCTTTATATTTTGCATGACTGGAAATCTCATTGTGATACACTGATATTAATGTACAAGGCACTTGTAATTCTTTGAAAATGCATTCAAATTTTCAAATAGGATGGAAATTAATACAATTTATAGTTATAGTTTACATTTTGCAGGCACAGTCCAACATCGGTTTCAGGTAATACAGTACTGTGAGAAGTATTCTTTCTGATTTAGATTAGAAACATCCATTTTGGCTGCTATGTAGAAAACTTTTAGTTAGATTTTTGCACATGCAGCAAAAGCTAGGCATCTATGTAGCTAATGAGAACACGTTCACGTAATGAAAACCATTCATAAACTGTTTTTATTGACAATGTCTTCATGTATTTTTCCTACATTTTTGTCTACTTTGTTTATATTTCACAAGGATAGTAAAAGACTGATAATAAAGATAAAAAAGTGACAATTTTCTATCAATGCAAACGTGTGAAAACTATAGACAACAGGTCAAACAAGTACAGAAACACAACTTTAATAGTTCTGCTGTGTAATTTTGTTGAAATTTCACAATTGCTTCTCAAAAAAATCCAGCAAACACTGACAATGTGCATTCATTTAGATACACTATAAGAATACATTTATTAAACTTAAGCTGTGAGGCAATTACAGTTAAAGGTGTAATGGACAGGTGGACCCCTCAGACATATCCTGTGATGTCATATCCTGCTGCAGTGGGCTTCCTAGCTCGTTGGGCTCCATGCGTACCCGACTCTGAACTGCCACTTGCACTACGAATTAGTGTCTGCCCCCTGCTGGGGGTATTGACACCCCCCACCTGCAGGGTGGGGTTGCGGTAGGTCTGTGAGGTTGTTCGTACACCTGTGCTCGATATGCCGCCTCCTACTGGGTACGGATATCCGCCTCCGTGGCGTCTCCCACGGCCGCCTTCCTGCTCTTCACAACATGACACACATAGCATCCCCCCACCCAGCATGGAAATGAGTGCAGAGGCCAGCCCAGTGTATAGGCACTCTCCGAGTTCATACTTCATGCTTTGAGGTACATTTGGAAGGTAGAAGGTCTTAACCACCTCGTGTGTGGTCCACGCCACGGGTACGAGAGCCAGAAAGCCTGCAAAGACAAATAACACCCCACCTGCACCGGCGACACGACTCTTAACCCCACCAGAGCTCTCCAAGCAAAGCGTGCACTGCATTCCCAGAGTTGCCATAGCAATTGCAAGGATAGACAACACTATGGAGATGACCATGAGGGCACGAGCAGCCTGCAGGTCCGAAGGCAAAGCCAGCATTGAGTTGTAGGTCTCACATTGGAAGGCCCCCGTGCTCTGATAGACGCACTCCATCCACAGGCCCCGCATGTTATCCACAGCTGTGACAATATTGGAACCAATGTGTGCAGAAATCTGCCAGTATGGAAGTACTGTGGCCACCAGGGTCCCCAGCATCCCCAGTAAGCCCAGGAAGAAGCCCATCAGCTCCAGAGCTGCTGATGCCATAGCCGTAACTGTGATCACCCAGAAGCAACCAGAAGAGACGAGCTCCTGCAAAACCCACAGAAATATTTTATTAAATACTATAAATAAACAAATACTAAATAATAATTTTGTCATAACTGCAAAAACCCCAAGGCAACCAGTTAAACTAAATTATATAAAATTCTCATTAATTAGCTGAAAAATATTGGTTAAAGAAATGTAATTACAATAGCTGTAATTTGGTCACATTACTATACAAAATATAGTAAATATTTTTGTTATATGTGCTTTTTTTAAATGGAGATTTATTGCCTAAAAACATCAGGTTGTAATATTAAAAAAACAGGCTTTAGTTTTGTTAGCTTGCTAAGTATGCTAATAGAGAAAAGTTGTAAAATACTAGATGATATAACATTCATGATGATTTTACAGAGTAAGATTCATATTTTAGATAATACTTTAAAACGTTATTGCTTTTTTTCTTTAATTTTAGAATTAGTTTTAGCTTTAGCATTGTCAGGTAGCAAGCTAACCAGTTATACTAGCTAATTAAAAGTAGCCTAAATCAAAGAGGGTTTTGTTTTTAGTTCTTCATTTCTCACATTTTGTTAATGTCATTTAGTTCAAGTGTTGTGTGCAGAGTAGCTTGGATTTTCAGTTACAGTTTATTGTAACTTGAATGTTTTAAGTTTAATGCTAACCTTGTAATCACAGGAGAGGAAGCTAAGCAGCATTCAGATGAACATCATTACATTTCATTTCTCATACACTCACCGGCCATGCACACTTATGTACACTTTGTTAGTTCTGGGTTTGATTCAAGGTGCTGGAAACAGTGCTTAGAGATTCTGATCCATGCTAACATTTTAACTTTGTGCTTTTTTACTTTCAGCTGATTGGTTGGCTGCACATCTATGATGCAAATCTTTGATGTGCACCATATCCCAAAAGGTGTTCTAGTGGATTGAGATCTGATGACTGTGGAGGTTCAAGAAGCCAGTTTGGGATCATTCAAGCTTTGTGACCTGGTGCGATATCAAGCTGGAAGCAGCCATTAGTAGACTGTGGTCACGAAGGCATGGACACAGTCAGCGATACTCAGGTAAACTGTGGTGTTTCTGCGCTGCTCTGTTGATACTAAGGGGTATAAAATACGGGGAACAGGGGCACATTTACTTCTATACAGTGCCCTGTCTTCTTTTAACAAGTCTGGACTTTCGGGAGAGGGATGTTGTCACTCTGAGGTATGAAAAGCCTTCACTGATACAGGTGTCATCTGAATGGCAACATGTATTGAACTTTGCATAGAACCAAGCTACCAACTCCAGAGGTAGTAAAGCACGTACCATTTTTCCTGTTTAGTCCAGAGGACATGGCATCCATGTTTTACAAAAAGAACCACAGAACAGATTTACAGTTTGCCTCTGTCCTCCTTTAATGAGCTCTGACTCAAAGAAATCATCGGCCATTCTGGATCATGTTCACATACAGATTTCTTATTCTGTCCTATTTGGTCCAGTTTGTGTTTAGTGAATGACTAAAGGTTCAGTTCAAGTATTATCTGTGTAATCTACCGCTGACACAGTGGCAGGTGACACTGGCTGTTTGAACAATATTCCCACCAGAGAAATCAAAGTAATTTTAGTTCATACAGTTCACACCACTAAAACCAATGCACAGTAACCCACCAAAAAGCAAATCAGCGTTCTTTAAGTGTAAAGAAATTCAAGTATTCATTGAAAATCTTTAAATTTACTGACAAACTTTGCTCTGTTCCCTTATTTGGACAGGGTCACCACAGTGGGTAGCTCCACATGTGAGATTTGACAGATGCCCTTCCCAAAGGCAACTATGTCCTGTAAAAAATAATGTGAAATGGATACTTAAATCCTTAATTGGCATCTAAGCCACATTTATAATAGCTAAATTCTTCATTCACTGTCAAAGTCAATTTTTGTGAGGTGTTACATTGATTCAGTTTTGCAGTCCACACATCCTTCCTCCTGAATAAACAGTGACAACACACACAGCTCACTTCCATGCATTTACCTGAGAGTGCTGCAGGTTATAGAACAGCCAGGCGCTGAACTAGTCGAAGATTTTTTCCTTTGCTGCAGGGTGTGAAGTTGCAGCTGGAGCGGAGGATGAGAAGGTAGAGGATGAAGACAGAGCAGAGCCTGCAGCCTGCACAGATTAGATTCACCACTGGTATTTCTGTTGAACCTGCTCCTGCTTCTCCAGTAGAGAAAATGTTGCCTTTTTCTTGCTGTATCAGACTCTGACTGCTTCCTCAGACCTTGACATAGTCACAGCTGCTGTACTTTTAAAATGCCACTTACTCTGCTGCTGCTTAGATTAGACCGAGGGAGCCAAGAAGGGGAAAAAAACACTTCTTTCAGAAATGAGAGAAGAAGAAATACAGTCCTCTGGACTGCCTGTTGCAGGGTATCCACTTTAAAACAACAACAGAGAAGGATAAGAAACGCCAGTGTTCCTGAACATTGTGTCTCTATCACCGTCTCATCTGTGTCGCGTGTTTGCGTATCTCTGTCCCTCATCCAGACCTTCACCTACTGTCATGTATACACACTGACATCTGTGTGACACACATATCCCGGTTGGTCAGACAGCTTAATCATTCTCTCATCTGTCATTTCTCCAAAACAGACCTTTGGTATGTTGGCGGCAACAGGCTGACCCAAAAACTAAAGGTACTGTGGACCCCTGTGTGTGTGAGAGAGAAACAGTTTCAGGAGTTTCATTAGCTTTTTGTAAGTGAAATTAACGAAACGTGTAATCATCAAGAAAAGCGCCTAAATCAGTCATCCTTTTATGGAACTGGAAAAAACATCCAGCTCACTCTGCAGAAATTTCAAGAAAAAAATGCTTGTGAGCACTTCTTTGCATTTTTAATTAAAATGAGCAATGAAATAAAACACCCTCAGGTGATAAACGTTACAAAAGGACGATGGAAAAAAAGCATATTTTTTATTAATTTTATTTAATTTCATATTTTGCAAGTGTGGGGTTCCCAGCAGAAATCGTTTTAGTTTCATATTAATCTGCTCAATTTACTCAGGGTTGTTTTTTTTTATGCAGAGACATGTTTTGACCTTTTATATTACAGCTACAGGGCAAATGTCCTTCTCAGGAATTCTAATTTCGACTTCGTTTGCCTAAGTTGGGTTCTCTTTCTACTTTTAACACTTGTTGTTTATGTTTTAGAAATATCATGAAGACTTTCCTCATATTTTTTTGACTGAAAATTTTTTTTTTTACAAAAATGAGACACAAATGATCAGTTTCAAAATTATCTAATGTTTATATATTTAGTCCAGAGGCTTAAAACAATCATAATATGAAAACCTGATCAAGAAAAAAAAACTACTTCCAGTAAGAGGTAAATCAATGATTATATATCCAGTGTGCTACCCAGTGTTACATGCCAACATGTTATAACTGAGCAATAAACAAAGAAGTAATGCTGGTTGCATACAGTCACAAACCTTTTGGCGTTTTATGTTCAGGCAAGGTAGCCAAAAAGTCAACCAACCAGCTTGTCTCATTAAAGCAACTTATTTCTTTACATTTAAAATAGTTTTGCCCAATTTTATATTAGATATTAGCTGAATTTAGTGGTGCTAATGTTTTGAAATATTGTTGTAATTTATGTGATTTTATTATATAATATGATTATATGTTGCCTAAAGCAACAAGAATGTGTTATACCTAGTTAGCTAGCTATAGCTATGATTAGGGGATATGCTAAGCTAGGCTAAGCTAAGCTAAACTAAGCTAAGTTAAGCTAAACTAAGCTAAGATAGCCAAGAGCATATAAGAAATAACTCAACAAGGTCAAATGTACACAAAAGAAAAGAATAAAGATAAAATAGATACAAAAAATTTGAAAAATCTAATATAGGAACTCAACAAGTTGAAATAAAAAAATATTATAAAATGCTATGTTACAAAAAATGCTATGTAAAGTAGTAAGTTTTACACAGAGAAAAAATGATTTATAAATAGAGTAAATTTAATGTAAAACAATTTTGCTAACTAAAGGTAATTTTGTAAATAAATAAATATGTTTTTAGAGGCAACTAATGACTTCCTCCAAGCTGTCATTTTATCTTTAGCTGCCTTTATATTAAATAGGAGGTGTATATATAACACAAAATTTGTAAAGCATGAACATCAGACACAAAACCAGCAAATTTCCCAAATGAATTAATTCTGCAGTTCTGTTTTAAAGTTCATGCCTTATCATCTTATACTTTATTTATGTTTAAATGCAAATTTTAATGAATCAGAAAACATTTTCATGGCATCTCCCACCATCCACACTCAAACCTGCCATACAGTGGCGTAATTTCCAGGGGGGTCAGGGGGGTTATGATCCCCCCAATAATCAGACACAACCAATATAACACCCCCCCAATAAAATTATGAATTATCTTGCATAAATAGGCTGTTGATTTTCTTTGCTCATTTCAGGTATTACCAGCAAAATAGTTGCATGTATAATCATCTGGGAATTTACCCAGATATATTTATTTATTTAGACAGAGATCTCGATCCCCCCAATGTTCAGCACAAAGTTACGCTGATGCTGCCATAATATATTACTTCTGGGTGAGGCTGACACCAGACTTGGCTGGCTTCTGCCTATCATCATTTATCAAATGTTTTCAGGCTTGCCAGTCTGAAGGCTGTTGATGCACAGAGGCAGAAAATTACAAAAGCAAATGATACCTACCATGGTTACCATGGAGGTGGATCTACTGCTGATAGACGAGAGGGATGGTCCTTCCTTGTTGGTCAGTGCCGTGTAAGCTGTTGACACGCACCATAAGAGTGTGCATGAGCAGTCATTACAGTCAGCTGGTTTGTCGAAGTTGAGCCCTCAGTTTCTAATCCTTCCAGTCGGCCCTCACATGGCAGCGGCATCATAATGAGATTAGAGCATAATCCAGTCACTTCCCCTCCAAAGCAGGCTGAGGGGGCAACGTCCACACACTCAGAAACACTGAGCCATTATTACAAAGCACAGAAAGGCATTATCTGGGCACACTGCATATTAATGTGGCAGCTCAGGTCAGCCTGTGACCCTTTGTTATACTCTTGTGACTCTGACTGGTGCATACTTTCTGTGAATTAATGAAAAGAGCCAAAGAATATGAAACTGTTCCTATCACAACTTTATAAATCACTCCATAACAGTATGCAAATGTATGCACAATATGATAGGCCCTCTTTTATTTATTCTGTCTTTAAGAAATAAAATATTCTGCCACTACTGTGCATTTCTGCTCACTTTTATCTACCTGCTACACTCGACAGCACCTACTTAATGAAAAACACTTCTGACTGTCTGGATGATTTAAAATCCTGAATGGATTTCCTTCAACTAAATCATAGCACAGCTGAGGTAACTGTATTTAGTCCCCCTCTACCTCTCTCGATATCTTAAAAGAATGCACTTGGTTAGTGTATTTCTTTCAGCTTAATAACATTTTTAATAAATGTTCTTACTCCTCGTCTATTTGCTGTCATGCTGATGCCTTTTCTATGTTTGGCGGATATCATGATTTGCATTTTTTCATAGTCCTTTGCGGCCTATTCTATTAATATTATTATGTAGATGGCTTGTATACCTCACTGTGCTATATAAATATAATGAACTGACACCACTAATCTGGGAAATGCTTAAGCTTTGACTCGACTATATGAGCAATAGTATGCGGACAGCTACACATCATACCCATAAGTAGCTGCTGAACACGTCATTTGAACTCTCAGTGTTAATCTTCTGTTATAATAACCTAAACAACTCTGGGAAGGTATTTTAGAGCCCGGCTATGGGGATTTGCTCCCATTCTCCTCAGGCACATTAGTGAACCTATTGATGCTGTAATAAGGCTCACAGTTTATCCAAGAAATGTCAGATGGAGTTGAGTGAGTCAGGTCTCAGTGGTTTGAAGTGCTGAAGAACAAATCAAGTCTCGCATCTCAGCAGCACAAGTTTCAGCAGTAAAATTAAGGAAGCCCTTTAGAGCATTATCTCAGTATCTTTGACTCACAGGTTGTTGAAGGGCTTCCCATGATGCAATGAACAATTTCTCTCTTATCTTTCCCCTCAGCCCCCAAACCTGTGGCAGCAGATCGCTAACCCTGTCTGAGTTTGCTTTTGCTGGAGGTTTCTTCCTGTTTGAAGTGAGTTCTTCCTTCCCACAGTCGCCAAGTGCTTGCTCACAGTGTTATGGAGTCTTTTCCTCGTATTGAAAAGCAGTTGCTGACGCCGCTGTTGTTGTGAGCTGGTGCTGTGAGCTGGTGCTGTGTAAATAAACAGCCTATAAAAACATCTGAGAAGAAATTCATCTGAATGAATTTAATTGTTTTTAAAAGGTTTTGTCTTTGCGTGCGGTTTCGTCTCTTATACTGTCTCTGCCTACGATCATATTTCCATCCATCGATCCATCCATGTAAGCCAAGTCAAGTACCTGATAGTGTGTAAGTTCAGATTTAGGTTAAAAATCTTTGAAAGATGCTCAGTTCAGTTGCCTAACATAGGCTGCTATGCCACATGTAGCTTCAGATACATTTTGAAATACACTTTTGACCCTTTTTTCTAATTGCTTACACCAAGTGCACTCTGTGAGATTTTACGTAATTATAACAACAAACAGCATCTCTCTTAATGTTCATTTGGTGTGTATATTGATAAAAGGTCCACATACTAGTATACAAACTTCCTGTTAACCCCAGAAGAGGGCGCCAAACCTTAGGTTAAACTTGCCATGCTTAATATACTAACTTAACCAAAGAGAGCCAAATGGCTGGTCTCTGGGAGTTGTAAGATCAAATAAAAAAAATCAAAATATATTTATAAGCACATTTAAAAACAACACGGGTTGTGCTGTACATAGTAGAGATCAAATAGTAAACATACATAGTAATTACTATAAAAGACTAGTCATAATTGAAAGCTAGAGAGTACAAATGAAGGGCCTTTTTTCAGGAAGAAAAGCAGAAAATTCCATCAAAGTTATTTTGAAAAGATATTTTCAAAGCAATACATTTCCTCTTCCTGTATATGAAGGCAGCTGAATTTTAACATTTTAATTGATTAAAACACTTAAGAGGGAATTTCTGAAGCGGAAAACTCTGTTGATGTTGTCTGTGGAAGATGTTACAACTATGACATTGATGAGTAGATGGTGATAACCAACCAATCAGATTCTCAGTTTTAGTTTAGTTTTTAAACGTTTCACCAAGTTGAAAGTGATTATTGCAAAGCACTGCAAGCAGCAGTTGTTGTAATTTGTGTGGGAAGAAAATCATGGTGGCCAGTATCTGCTGGTTGCATCTGCCAATGTTTGCTTTATTTCGTGGGATTTCATGTCCCAGTGCTGCTGATGTCGGTTGTTCTAACTGTGGACTCAGTAATATTGCTATGACATGCACCTTTTTTTGGCATCAGTGAAATGTGTGATACTGGCATTGATGAGAAAGTTAGCCCTCACCTCAAAGGCTGATCATTGTCTAGTGATTCTGGGAGTTATCTGACACGTCTCATGTCCAGCAGGTGAGTAATAAGTGCATAGGTGCACAACACAACAACAAGTGAAAACAGGAGAAGACAAAACAGGAAACAAAATTGACACAGGACAAAAAAGAAATAACCTTTCAAAGTAAAACAGGAACTAACCAAGGAAACAAAAGGAACCCAGGCTTAAACAGAGGGAGGGTACCTAGAAAACAGAAAGTAAAAGTTAAACCTTAAATCAAAAGAATAGACTCAGAATAACCACAAGTACAAGTAGGATGTAGAATAGGATGAATCTACAGACAAAACAAAATAAACACAGAAATATAAACTTTACAAACAGGACAAATAACTGAACCTAAACAGAAAACGTTGGTATATTAACTCTGAATTCAAAGTATTAAACAAGTGTCAAAACCAGCAATGTGAAATAACTTTTAAAAATTAACCTAATTAATAATTGCCCACTTTTAATGCAATACCCTACCAGTGGTTGCCAAAGTGTGGTCTCCCACAGGTGGAGTACTGAATTCAAGTCACAAAATTTGAGTTTTTAAGGAACACGTTTATTTATTTATTTATGAGGCCCAAACAGTTTCCTTATTCTGAAACATTAATTCACAATGACAGTAATTGAGCACCACCTCAGGCTAAAGTACCTCCTCTGTTCCATATATTTTAACGGGAAGGTAGTTTAAGGGTTTACACAGCAGTGGAGTCTCCTGTGTAAACATCCATCTCTACCGGTTTCCAGTTCACCTATCCCCACTAACTGTATGTCTTTGGACTCTAGGAGGAAGCAGGAGTACCCGGAGTGAACCCACGCAAACACAGGGAGAAGATGCAAACTCCACACAGAAAGACCCCGCCTGATGGTGGAATTGAACTCAGGACCGTCTTTCTGTGAGGCAGCAGTGCTAACACCATGCTACTGTGTAAACAATTGGAAGAAAAACAACAGTGCACAGTATCACTAATTTCTCACTGAGCTTCCAGGATCTCCTGTAGAGCAAAAGGTTTGTTGTGGTGCCCTCAAGTGGTCACTAGAAGAAAATGCAGCAAACAGGTAGACTTTCATTCAAATATATAGCTAGAGGCCTATTTCAGCTGCTACAGGACAAGAGGCAACCCTGTTTGTAATTGATTAACAGCGTTACAGGACCAACACAGAAAGAAAAACAACTACTAACACCTATGGGTAATTTAGAATCACTGATTAACTAAACCCCACCAGCTGCATGTCTTTGCACCATGGGAGGAAGCCAGAGTACCCACGGTTAATCTACACAGATATGCACAGAAATGCCAGATGGTGGATTCAAACCCAAGACCATCTTGCTGTGACCATCTTGTTGCGCTGACCACCAAGTAAATATTAAGCAACCCTCTTTCATTAAGCAAACCAATATATCCTAAACAATTATGAATACAGGGTACAGAAAGCCACTCAGTTAAAACAGTTAAACATAAATGGTTCATGATCATAAATTTAAATTGACCAGCAATTGTAATTGTGCTGTAAAACACTTTTTTTGTTTATGTTTTGTGTCCTGTTGGGCTGTTTTTTCAACACTTTTAAAAGCAATCTTATAAAGCTAACAGGAGTGGCACCTGGTGTGGTCTTCTGCTGCTGTAGCCCATCTGATGTGCTGCATACTTTGATTGTAACAACTGATTATTTAAGTTACTATCAGCTGTAAGTCTGGTTATTGGCTGATTAGATATTTGGTTAAACGGTTGTAAAGTTTTGACTTAAATTCTTTTGTAAAACTTCCTTTTCATGGCTAACAGGCATGTGGGACTCTTTTTTTATTTACAGTGAAAGAATACATTTATACAAAGACACAAGACAAAAGGGGAATACTGCTCTAGGGGGTCCAGGGATGTAGGGAATCCACACATCCAGTATTTAAAGGTAATTCTCCCTCAACTCACGGTCAGGCTTACCACACTAGGGAAGAGAATCCAGTGATCTGTGCAGAGGAACCACACAGTCACAATCCAGAAACACCAGGGGCACAGCAAAGCACACAGAGACGCAAAAAACAGGATTTTAACTAACTAAGCAGTTCAGCGATCCAACAAAAAAATAGTTTATTTAAAAGTTTTCTAGATGGAATCTAAACGCATCAGGAAGTTTTCAAAAGTCCGTTCTGTGTTTTATGTGTTTTTAACCTCATTAATTTTTCCAGATATTTGATTTCTTCTACAGCTTTTACACTGGTGGTGCAGATGTAAATGTTTGAGTGAGTGTCATTACAAGAGTAAAGTTTTTATCATCAAAATAGCTTAACTAAAAGCACTCATTATGTAGAATAGCTCTTTTTAAACTGTATTGTGTTACTGGGTTATAATTAGGGTCATTAATGTGTAAATCAATTTATTTTTGCACTAGATAAACCAGTAAAGATTTCAGTTGCTTATATGGTAAATGGCCTATATTTGTATAGCGCTTTACTAGTCCCTGAGGACCCCAAAGCGCTTTACACATTCAGTCATTCACCCATTCACACACACATTCACACACTGGTGATGGCAAGCTACATTGTAGCCACAGCTGCCCTGGGGCGCACTGACAGAGGCGCCCCAGGGCGCCCCCTATATGCCGAGGGGGAGCTTTAGCAGTAATAATGCAATACAAATAAAAGGAAAAAGAAAAAACAATTTTCAAACAATAGAAACTAAACTGAAAAAAGGTAAACCCAGTCTCAAAAGGGACACGAAATGTAAAAAAAAATAAAATAAAAATAAATATGAATGGATAAAAAAAAAGATAAATAAAAAAATAACCAAAAGTCAGAGCCTCTTATCTTTTTGTGAATCTACACCTCAGTTTATTTATGAAAAAGGGACTACATAATACCTGAGCGGATTAGAGCAGTGTGCAATCCAACTTTAGAGGTCTCTTTGGCGGACAGCTGTCAAACGAGGCAGTCCAAAAACAAGCTGACCAATCACAGCCTATTGGGAAAAGTCATTTCACTCCTCAGACCAATCAGGGCGTTCTAAATCCAACCGGAAAACCACGCGCGATCCATATAAAGATTTTTTTTTGTCTCCGCCCACAATTTCCAAAAATAATAAATTAATAAAAGTGTGTCCTAAGGTTATCCTGACCCTATTATTCTTCCATACACTTTATGTGTTTCAAACGTCTCACGTATACATGCGTGGGCTGTTTATACACCAAGCCGGCCGGTGTTTGGGCTCAGTGACTCAAAACTTACATTAGAGTTTCTACTATTTATGTTTATCAGTGTTGTTTGATTTATTTCAGTGCGCTTTGTGTGAGTTTGGGTATGGATTTGTTGCGATATAAATCGCTTTGCGGTTCGGCATACTACAAAATGTTTATTTTATAGTTTAATTTGTGTAGAAAATTGATTTTTACCAAAATGCTAGGCGATGGATTCACCTTGTGAAAGTCGCTTGAACGCATGAAGCAGCTTCAGAAATTAGTATTTTTAGCGCGAAAAAATGTTGTTTTTTGTGTATTATTCATGCCGAATCAAAGAAGTTGCACCAACGACAGGAAACAACTCTGACTCATGCTTTGTGAGTCACCTTTTCAGACTGATAAGGACCGGCCAGCTTAAATCTTCATTATTGTAAGCGGAGTACGTCACGGGGCTGAGCCAGACTGTGGTCTACACTCATCTTTCCCCCAGGAGGCTCTCCTTCCCAGCCCCTTTGTTCAGTCTAGCCGGTGGGTTGAGTCAGTCAGAAGAAGGCTGTGCTAACCCAACAAATCCAAATCACTGTGGGAACACCGACAAGAGAAAGAAGAGGCCGAAAAATACATCCACCGGATGACGTTTTTAGTTAGAGGCACAGCAGAAAGAAAACGGAAAAAGTTGGTTTTGAGTGTTGCTGATGCTGCGTTTAATGCCGGGAACCGTCTGGCCCTGCGTGGAAGCGTTTGGCTCATTTAAGTCCGTTATCGTCGCTCCAGTATAGCCGCCTGAGCTAACACGCTGTTAGAGATGAACCGGCAGGCTACATGCTAACCCATCACCGGTATATTGCTGACAGTGTGCAGTTGTTGCCACCATCCATCCAGTGATCCACGCTGACTCTCCCTTTCAGTTTCTGCTCAGCATCCATATTTGCATCCCAGGGAGTGGCAGCCACTAATCCCCTCTTTTTCCACCCGTGGCTAGGAAATCAAAGTTGGACACCCCCTGAATTTTCTCACAGGATGGTGAGTATTTTCCTGCATTTTTATGCGCTTTTGTGCCATTTTGTGCTTTTATTTCCTCTCTGGGAGGGTACTCGGGGTGTGAAGTGAAGGACAGTCTAGACCACGTTGCCGCAGTAGCTACAACAATGGATCAAACCGGCGTTGTGTTAGATTTTGTTGAGGTGCGCATTATCAGCACATTGCTGCTCTCCTGTTTGCACTGAAATCAAGGTGTGGATTGGGAAATGAATCTGTGCTTTAATGTGGAAGAGCTGAGGAAAAATTACAGACAGAGGCCTTTATTTGTGTCTCCACTCAGATCAAAACCATCATCCCCGGCTGGTTTGCTCTGACTGATTGATCCAAAAATGAATATCCTCTCCATTTTTTTTTATTATCTGGATGAGTGTAAATAAAATGGAGAATGATTAGGCAACGCTGGAATGTGTTCCCCGTCCCTCCTAATGCCCAGTGTCTAGTTTAAAAGCCTCAGCCAGATGTGTGTTGTTTATTGTAGGCTATAACGGCATTATATCTTCTTAATGGGCTCTGGGCCATGATTTGTAGGCCATGTTCTACTTGGGCAAAGGCCTGCATTGGTTTTCACTCTTGTTATGACTCTGCTGAAACTGCTAAGTTGATCATGGATGATTGTATGAAGCAGTGGGGCGTAGATGACAGTAATTTACCGTGACACATGTAAATGTGTGTGGATTGCTATGCAGGTGCCAAATAGTTCAACAGATCGACAAAAACACGATGCTTGTGGAAGTTCTCTCAGTGCTGCTTCAGTGTTTGGCTCATGATTAATCATGTTTTGCTCAGTGGCACCCCAGCAGTAGTGTAGCATGAGTAATAACAGTGGGACACATGCATTTCAGTCTCTACTTCAGTGTTTTTTCTGCTGTTGTTAATCAAAGAAGAATCCCACATTGCCAGTGCCAAATTGGAAAAATAAAGCATTGTGCTCTGGATAGAGTTGGAGAAGCAGGCCTACCCTTCTTAAAATGCACAAAAATACATGTGCAAGCTCACCAGGTAAACAAACTCTTAAAAAGTTGCTCTAAACATATTTTAAAGAAGCTTTTTTTTAATTGGAAGTTAAACTTCTAACATCTTTACTATTGCAGTTCAGGTTTCTTTGAGTGCAATGCCTCTCTCTTATGACATAATAAGGCTGACACAATACCAGATTTTATTTACGTAATTTTGTATCAATATCTTTGTCATATCTCCAAAAATGAACTCAAATGATTATTAAACTTAATATTTGTCTTTTTATTTGGCCAATGAATTGCACCCATAAAATATGCATAAGGAGGTGGAGAAAGTCTAAGTAATTATAAAGGCATGCAAAAAGAATGACGACACGGTACTCATAAGCTTTGGAAACACTATATGGACAGAGGTATTGGGCCACACCTCTTCATCTTTGAATTCAGGTGTTTTCAGTCACAGCTGTGTAAAATAAAGTACCGTTTCACCATTTGTGGAAAAAATGGGTCAATCCAGAGAGGTATGATGTGTCAGTGGTCCATTCCAGCTGTCTGTACAGTGTGCAGTTCCTTACCATCATTTGTACTCAGAGATGCAATTAAGATCTTATTCTAAAAATTTCTGACCTAAATACTTAAGGAATGGTTCGTTGCACTCTGAGTGAAGTGAATAATTTCATTAGAGAGTAACGTCATGTGTCGCAGTCGTATTTTTTTGAATTGACATAAATAATCCACATTTACAGATGTACACTTTTGAAGTGATAAAGCAGTTTTATGATTTATAGCAAATTATTTTGTGGACCTTTTGATTATGGACTTCTGGGGTCACAGAATTCACACACTGAGAAACACCGATATAAAGGAAAATGTCCTGATAAACAAAAACACCCACAAGGCCTAAAATCTGCCATCAGCTGACATCAGTGTGTCAACCTGAGAGCTGCTGTCTCCGGGCGTGTATTAATAAACGCTATCCATTTATTATTTATAACTACTACCAGTTCTTCAGATTCTTAAAAGTCATCAACTCCCAGTGTGACTCCTGAGGAGGAAGGAAGACCACATATATAGATGAAAGCTGCATAAAAGAAAATCACATTTAGGCACTAAAGCTTTTGGTAAGTTGGAGAAGCTGTTAGGTCAGATTTTCACCCTGTGTGAGCTGGGATTGGCTCCAGCCTCCCCGGGCTGTAAGTTGGATGAGCAGTTAAGAGAAATGATAGATGGATTGTTAGGTTATGGCTTTGTGTGGGCACAAGTAGTCCAAACCCAGAAGTGATCTTTGCTTTTCAGATTGTTCGATTTTCAGTGGATTGTAGGGACACAAAAAAAAGAACAAGATGCAAAAAAGGAAATTTCTGATCTCTTTCAATCCCTGTGTTTCTGCACTGAGCCAGTGTTTTGCATGCAAAATGTTAGGACGACCTTACAGTGTGTTGGAGAGCAGTTCAACAATAACACCCACTATGACCTCAGAAATAAAGGTCAAGTAGAATTATGACCGCTTGGCCAAAAACAACAAAAATCAGTGTGCGCAAAACTTAATTGTTGGTATAAAGCAGCTTCTCTGTGCTGTGTGAGGGCATTAAATTGCAGAGGTGTTCCTGATAAACTTGTTGTCAAACCAGTTTCCATTTGTTCTGCTTCAACAATCTGGTCCATTCACTCAGGGTTGGACATCTGATGTCACACTGTGTTTGTTTAGCTGTCGTGCTGTCAGCCGTTCTTGTATTTATCCCATATATTTGTCATCCCCACAGCTAAAACATGGAGAGTGACAGCCACCACTCCCACATCTAGTGCCTGATCCAAAAGCCTTCATCGCCCAGGAAGGAGGAACTCTCAGGTCTCCCTGCTAACGTAGAATGAACATGCTCAAGTCCAGTGGACTGAAAATCCCTGGGCGCGGGGCCAAGCATTCCAGCCCAGTGGGAAGGACCTCAGCGGGTGGAACGTCCAGCCCCGTTGCCCCTAAAGACAGTAAGTCACTTCCTTCTCCTGACCCCGTGGAAAATAAAAGGAGCGTCTTTTCCCCCAGTTATTTCTTTTCATCGCCGGAAGTGGCTCAGACCATTTATTTGTGTTGCTGACTCAGAAACGCACAGCTGCATTAGATTACATCCTCATGGTTCTTTATGATAGAAAAAAACATGGAAGGAGGATTGGTTTGTGTCTCCCACTTCTTTAAAACATCTTCCAAAGTGTTCCAGGGCAAACCTTGTGTTGCCTTCAGCAGTTTGGAAAGTGATTTGTTTTTATCTATCAATGAATGTTTAATTTAGGCCTAGGTGATCATGGGGGGAAAAAGCAGGCTCACAGGTGTCAGGTGACCTGCATGGCAGCCACGTAGAGACCAAAGGAGAGCCGACAGCTCGCCAGCCAACACCTCAGTCGCACACTGTCAAAAACACACGGGGTGAGAAACCCTCAGTAATCCAGAGAGAAAGTAATCAGCTGTCCTTATTGATCCTTCCACAGATCCACCTGTCAAAACCTTTTGCAACTTTTACCTCTGCTGGGCATCTTGCTGACCAAAGGCCTCCCCATCAGCTTGGCTCAAACTGAAGTAAACGTCGGTAAACTTGAGCTTTTAGGGAGGGCCAAAAACACTGCAGTGTAAAGTAAAGAGGTTATATTGATCTGTAACACAAAAAAACCACAGGTTGTAGCAAAAATAATGACAAAAAGTAACCATGTTATCCCAAAGACCTCGTTTTTATAAGATAGCCAAGATACCCATGGATTGATCTGTTCTCAAAACCATATTTAGTCTGGCTAAAAGATTTGAATTGCACTCTTCTGCTGTGAGTTCTGTAACGCTTCATTTCGTTATTACTCACATATTCATTTCTTTCTTTTGTATAGTAACACATGTATTAAAGATTAGCTAGTAAGTGTTAGTGTTTTTCAGCTTAATGTTTTGATTTTACCTCCCACAGGTTTACAGCTGGTTGAGTCACTTTTATTAACCTGTCTCCAGGCGGCTATCTCCAGTGCTGAGCAGAACTATTTAGCCAAAAAAGTGGAGTATTTGGAGGCTACATAGTCAGATTTCCAATCAGGAGATGGTTGAGACCAAAAATGGAGCAAAAAATGGTGTAAATATTGGATTTGCACCAAAAAACGTAACCAAAAATCAATGATAGTATATTACTCAGTCTGCAGGATGTTTACATTATCATGTTTCTTCAATGCTTAACATGGTAACATGTCAGTGTTGTGTATTTACGGCTGGCTGAGTTGGCAACAAACAGCCAAAAAGAAAGGCGCTAACACAAAAGGATAACTTTAAAAGCACACTTTTTCTTTAAAACACTGAGGTCTTACTTTAAATGTAAAAGAGAAGGAACCAAAACACAGCAGCTCTTAAGAGCATGATGCTCCACATGCAGGCAATATTAGGATGCAATAATGCAGCTTTATAATACTGAAGATATATAGCTGTTAGCTGCACTAACAGCCATTGTTTATGTATCAAATGTATGATAATTGTCATTCTTGTTTACAATAAAGTTCAGTTCCTGTCCAAAAAAAGTATGAAAAATGTGGTTGTGAGCCACACTGTTACATTAGTTGACGTTTTTCTACTTAAATATGACTCGTTTTCTATAGTTTACATCAACTGCATATCTGCAATGACCACACAGTTGACGATTCATCTCCTGACGAAAAAAAAGGACTACTAACCTGTACGAACACTCAGAATTACAGCCCTTGTTTGCTCAAAGTAATCACAGCTGTTTGCGCTCTAAAATGCAAACCACACTGTTTATCTGCCCACCTTCAGCTCACACGACTGTCACGTCTCACCAGCTTTGCACGCAGGTTTGTTCAGTTTCTGCACACAGCTCCACACCCAGCGGTGAACAGGGCAAAAGAATTCGCCGACCCGATGGTGGGGAGGCCTTTTATGATCAGTGTGTCACAGTTCATGCTGAAAGGAGGAAAAGTTGGTCCGACACTTTTAACGTTACGTGATAACCATTAGTTATAGTCATTATTAGTAGCTTATTACCAAATAATGAGTTAATAAGAATAAGTTAATGAGTGTTCATTCATCTGTTATGTCACTGTTAATTTTCCTAAGCTTCCTTTTGTTTCTTTAGGCAATAAGTGCATATTAAACTGCTATTAAATACATGTCCTTAACAGAGTATCAAAGTAAGCTTTAGTAAAGGCATAACAATGATATAATAGTAAGTTAAACATTGACATCGTCTTATTAAATTCATTGTATCATGTTAACAAGCATGAGGACTTGTGTGTGTGTTACAGGGACATTACTGTAAATCATCACTGTGGGGTTTTATACAAGTCATTTTCTTGGTTTTACTCCAAGTTGCTATTTTATACCATACTCTGTGCCTCCCAGCATATCACAATAATCACTAAACATTAAGAGCTCTAAGATTCCTGTGACAGCTGAATATATCCGGCTCTAATGAAACTGAAGCGTTACGAATGCCAATCCAGAGCTGTTGATGCCTGTAAGTCTGTGAGAAATCTAAACAACAGAAGCATTTCGGGAGAAAATAAACAAGTCTTTCATTTATCTGCTCGACTTTATGTTTAACCCGGGGCGGTTCTTTTTTGTTCATCTCCGTGTCGGAGCTACGGCGGCTCAGATTTTTGCCTATAATTATCCCGAACGTGTTCATTAGCAGCTCAGAAAGCGATCTCTTAGCGTTGCGCGCGGGACTGAAGCCTGTTGCCCAGGGCTCGTCAGCTGTTACCGTAGGTTGCTGCGACTTCGAAATTCCTGCCTGCGGTTTTAAACTGTTTGGTTCTGCCATATGCGAAGTCATTAGCTTGCTCACATCCTGTTTATGCACAAAATACACAAGCGTGATGGATGTGACAGTGATTTATTTTCCCACTGCTGTACTTGAACCATGTAAACTTTAGTGTGTGAATGCTGCACTGACAGCTAACACATTTCTAACAGTCTGACTTCTGATACTAGTGCTAATTGGATTTTGGTGATCTGTAATAAATGTAATTAGATTAATGAGAAAGTAATTCATTTGTGGTGAGTGGCAGTATTTTTAGACATACCTTTGATAAGATGGCCTAAGTCTCAGTTCTTATTTGTGCCACATGGTCACTGTTCGTGTCTCCCTGTCGTGCTCCTGCGGTTTTATGTTGGACTTATTATTAAATTTAGGATTTGTCCATTATTTTTCTCATCATTATATTTTTGAATTCTGGTTCTTGTTTGATTTCAGTGACATTCTAGTGGTGTTTAGTGTGTGGTTTATGGGCTCCTGTGAAATTAGTGACCCCAGGTTCTGTTATTATTTCAGCCTACCCCCCTCGTGTTTCTGTCTCTTCCTTCCTCTGTTATCATGTTTAGTATACGTCTTCTGTTTATTTCCTGTTTTACTTTGATGGTTAGTTTTCTCGTGGGTCTTGTCGTCACCTATCCTGATTGTCTTGTCCCTGTTCTGTCCCTAATCCCCAGTTCATCCCCCACATGTCATATCTTTGTTTCAGTCCTTCATTTTCTTTGCCTCCTTCTGCTTCTTTGGAGATGTGTAGATTTTTGCCTTTCACTGGTTTTCATCTTTTTGTGCTTTTTTTTGGATTTATTTAAATAAAAGAAAAAAAAACATATTTTTTTAAGAGCAAGACTAACCTTTCATGCTAAGGTTATCCAATGTTTTTAAATATGATAGCACTGGTCCTGGACTAGCATCCATATTGAAAGTGATGCATGTCTTAATGCATCTTTAGCCATGACGTTGTGTGTTGCAGCACCAACACCCTGCTTACGTCTGCGATATCAGCGGTTTTATGAAATAACTGTACTCAACACCCCGGGAATGACAGTTGTCTGGTTTTAGGTAGGCGGGTACACCCTGTGCAGGTCACCAGACTATCACAGGACCAGTCAGAGTCAAAACTAGTTAAAATACATGACGACACCAGTCAAAACCAGCTAAGATTGCTCCCCCTCTCCTGTCAGCATGGTAAAATCACAAAGCTAGCTCTGTAGCTTAGCATGAAGATTGGATGAGGGGAAGATTGTCTGGTAATGAATTGCAGATTATTTAATGTATACGATGCTAGTGTTTATGCTAAATGTGACTGTGGGAATCTATCGATCTGCAGCAGCGATCTGCAAAAATCAGCCAGAGTCCCTGAGAATAAGTCAGCCTAATACTTACAGAGCGCTTGGGTCATATAGGATCTGTTGTAGTTTTGGTCACTGGAATGTTTTGCCAAGAAGATGATTGGTATCTTGGATTAAATTGTTCTTATTACCTAAAGAAGGCTATAAAACACATTAATGAGAAATCCCTGGGAGAATATTTGTGCCTCACCGAGGACGTGGAGGGATTAGTTTCCTGTCCCAGATAGTTTTATCACTGACCTGCCCTCATACTCCAAATCTCAACCCGCTGTTTGTTGGTTTTAGTCTGGAAGACTGCGAGAGGGGGCCGCTGTGTCGGAAGCTGACACAGTTTACTTTGCTAAATTTAAAGAAGGAAACTGCAGTAAAAGGAGTGAATAGAGGAAAGTATCCAAGCCTTCATCTAGAAACTTTAGATGTGGAAATAACGGAGCTGTGCCACCTCTCGCGATGCAGCATCTCCTGTGACCTTGGAAGCAACAGAAATATCTCGTGTAGACTGCCTAGGTGGAGACAAGCAGCATTTTTTTTCTCTTGGTTTAATTCTCTGAAAGGCTCTGTTCAAGGTTTCCCCCTGTTTACCCACATGGAAAAGAAATAGTAAAAACTTATAAAAGCCTTGCATAAGATGTGGCCTACTTCATATAGTGAATCATATAAGGCTTATATGATTCACTCATGAAAGTGGCCACTTTCATATATTGTTTTAGTAAGTATCCAAAACATACAAGTTTCATTTATAGAATTTTTCAAGGGATCTTATATCTGTTTTCACTCTTGTATGCTTTTCATTCAAGTTTCACACAAGACAGATACAAACTTTATAAGATTTATATATATCTTTTCC